TGCCTTAATGTTTCTAGGATACTTTTCTCATGACAAGAATTATTCTTCCAATTTTTTTAGCTAAGGAAACTGAGGCTCAGATAGATAAAGTGACTTGCCTAGAGTCACACAGCCAGTCAGTGACAGAGATCCAAAGGCAGGTCTTCTAATACAAACAAAGCAAGACAAAACATTGGGCATTTATGTGGTGTTAGGAACACCAAGTGTTTAATCTACATTATTTTACTTAAGTCACATAATAGCCCTGTCAGCTAGGTATGGCAGGTATTAGTATCCCCATTTTACAGGTAAGAAAACTGAAGCTGATAAAAAGGTTAAGCGACTTGTTCGATGCCACTCGATAGCAACTAAGTGTTGGAGGGAAATCTTGTGTTTAATTCTAGAAAACAGTCATGTGAGGAAGCATCAGGATACAGGGGGTACAGTGCTGGACCTGCAGTCAAAAAGACCTAAATTCAAATCTAATGTCAAAGTCAGCCTTAGACTGTAGCTGTGTGACCCTAGAGAAGTCACTTAACCTCTGTTAGAGTTTGCTCATCTATAAAATGGGGGTAATAATAGCAACTACCTTGCAGGGTTATTGCAAGGATCAAATGAAATAATATTTGTAAAGTACTTTGCAAACTTTAGAGTGCTAGATAAATTCTGGCAGTGATGATGATGATTATTGTTATTATTATCTGTCCAAGGCTAGTAATCATAGAACCTATGGAAATGAGAATGGAAAGTGAGGGGGTATGGATGAAGCTAACCCTTAGCTAAGCCATCAAGAACAAAGTTAAGGTAAAATGAAGCAGGATTTTGTTTGGGTTTTTTTAGCCCAATAATGGATTGATTCATTAACTTTAAGAATAATTCCAGGTCTTTATACTTTTTTTTCAGTTCTTGGTCTAAACTTGCCAATCTTTGCTCTTCCTATCTCAAACATCACTTATGGTCCTTAGGTCCTCTTCCATGCATCCATACCTCTCACTTTCAGCCTTTGTTCCCTATCATTCACTGGTCCCATCTTCTAGACCTGAAAATAGACAATTCCCCTCCCCAAACCAAACAAGAGAGGCTACCAAAGCAGTGACCTCTAAGTAGTTTTAATTGGACTCTCTTACAGGTATTTCTTTTTCTAGGTAAGTATGCTGGCAGGGAGGAGTTAGGGTGTGGTAGGGAATTGTCTCAACAGCACCTGTACAATTGCCACTATGCCACTAAGGTTATAACTGCCATGAGAGTCTGATTACTAGCTCAGCAGGGGAAGCCTGAGTTTTTCTGGGGCGAGAGTAGAGGGTAAGAATATTGGATTAAAAGTTAGTGTGGTTATATTAAAGCTAAGCCCCATGACTGACCACTGCCCAGATGGTAGAATGCAACTCATCCTCCCATCCTCTAACTAGTTGATCACACCTCCCTTAGTGTCATGCCCCCACTTTGGAAACCGCTGTCCTAGAGATCAGTAAAGACAACGTGATATAGTAGAATTAACAATGGACTTAGAAAGTCAGGGGAAGTGGGTTTGAACTGAAAGTCCAATATTCCAACATTCACTAGCTGTGGGACTATGGGCATCACAACTTCTTGAAGGATTAGTCCCCCATTTATGAAATGGAAACCATAATACTCATATTTTATAGCTCATTGGGTCTATCTTGAAGAAAGTACTTTGTATGGCTTTAAGCTTCATTGAAATGTGTTATTATTATATGGATGAATTTTCTTAATATTACTAATTAATTTAATCTTAATAATTAATATTATTAAGACTTAGAGCTGAAAGGGAACTTAGAGGCCATTGAGTCTCACTCCATTTCATAGCTGAGAAAACTGGAGGCTTATGGAGTCAAGTAACTTGCTTAGGGTCTCACAGCTTATATGTGAGGCAGCATTCAAACTCGGGTCTTCCTGACACCAAGTCCAACAATTTATCCATTATACCACTTAGCTAATTCCAGGGGTCCCTTTTAGGGAAGTCCTTGTGTATGTACAACCTTCATCACTTCTCTTATCACTAGTTTTTCATGAATCCATTTTTCCCAAAATGAGGTTTTTTGTTTTTTTTTTACTTTTTTGGTTTATAAAATGCATTGAATGTACCAAATCCTTGGCCCTAAATGTAACAGACTGGAGGCAAGCTGAGTTGATTCTGTGAAAAAAACTCAATTTATCTCACTTCTGCTTAGGTCCCTTCCAAATACTTGTTGGCTGACTGTTCCAATTCCCAAACTCTATGATTCTCTGAAATGGACTTCTGTATTGGAAAGAGCTTTCTTTAAAAATTAATTTATTTATTTTTAGTTTTCAACAATCACTTCCAAAAGCTTTTGAGTTTTAAATTTTCTCCCCCTCCTTCCGTCCCTCCTTCCCCAAGACAGTGTGAAATCTGATATAAGCTCTACGTGTATGTTCCTGTTAAACATATTTTCACATTAGTCATGTTGTAAAGAAGAATTAGAACCCATAAGAGGAACCACAAGAAAGAAGAAACAAAACAAAACAGAAGAAAAAAAAAGTGCAAATACTATGCTTAAATCTGCATTCAAACTCCATTGGAAAGAGCTTTTGACTGAAAGTCAGGAAACCTATATCCTGGTCAAGGATTCTCCATATATGACCTTGGACTAGTTACCTCTCTCTGGGCCTCAGTTTTCTCATCTGCAAAATGGGGAAGTTAGATGAGATGATCTCTGAGTTCTACAGTGCAGGAAAAAAGAATGATGAATTTGTAGTGAGGAGATCTGGGTTCATCTCCTGACCAAGTCACTTTACCTCTGTGGGTTCGTGTTACCTTTTCTGTAAAATAAGGTGGCTGGAGAAGATGTCTTCTACCTTTTTTTTTCTAGCTTAGAGTATATGATCATATGAGTTAACATCTTTCTATGGCACAGATTGATTCCATTTATCCACATGTTTGTAGCAACTTCGAAAAGTGTTGGTTCCAATTTCTTTCTATTCAGGAGTGACACGGGTAGAAATAAGCGGGACCCACAGCTCAGACTGATTAATGTGGGCAGTGCCAACTTGCTTGCTTGCACAATGACTGAATAATAACCATGAGAAAATCACTTCCACTGGCATTAAATTATCCACGCTCCACTCATTTTCTATGATACACAGCCCTTCAAATATAGACTTCCCTCTTTTACAAAAAAAGTATGCTGTGACTCTTTGAATGGATATTGCACAACTCAAAGATTTCTGTATATTCAGCTACCTTGTAGCACAAGCTGTCAGAATATAAATGCTTACAGAAATACTGCGCTCACAATCACGTGCCATCTTTCAGCTGAGCATTTCAGACACTGAACGTTTCTCTCAGTGGCTCTTTATGGTGTGATACTGTGGAAAGAGACTGAGCTCTGGAATCGGAGGAGATGGGTTAGAATTTCACCCTTGGTTATTGCCTGTATGACCTTGGGTCTCACTTAACCTCCCTGGGCCTCAGTTTCCTCATCTGTGAAATAAATAGGCTTGGACTAGATGACTCCAAAGTCCCTTCAAACCCTAGATCTATGATTCTGTGGTAAGTTTCGTTTCCAAGGCTTAAATGAACACAAAATGATTTAATAAAAATAGCTAGCATTTACATAGTGCCTACCATATGCTAGGCATTATGCTAAGTGCTTCACAAATATTATTTCATTTTTTAGGCAATTGGTGTTAAGTGACTTGCCCAGGGTCACACAGCTAGTAAGCGTCAAGTGATTGGTCTGAGGTCAGATTTGAACTCAGGTCCTCCTGACTTCAGGGCCAGTGCTCTATCCACTGCGCCACCTAGCTTCCCTCAAATATTATTTCATTTTATTCTCACATCAACCTTGAGAGGTAGGTATTTCATTATCCCCCTTTTAAATCTCAGGAAACTGAGGCAAGCAGAGGTTAAGGGACTTGTCCAATATCACATAGCTAGAAAATGTCTGAAGTGGGGTTTAAACTTTGATCTCCCTGACCCTAGGCCCAGTGGTCTACCCACAGCGCCACCTTTTCTCAAGGTCACAAAATCAATCAGGAGCCAATTCAAAATGAGGAGTCTTGTGAGTTACCTCTATCTCCCACCCCTGCCAGGCTACATATCCTCTCACACACTATCATCTGTTGTTCACTTCCATTGTTTTCCTAATTAGCCGCAGACATGAACAGACTATGGGTTATATATGATAACTTATGCTGGGAAAGCATTCCTACGGGTCTGCCCTTTCCTCTCTGGGGTCAATACTCTGTGCCCATCTATGCATAGCATGGTTATCTCAAAGCTGGAAGGGACCAGAGAGATTATTTATTCTGACCTCTATATTTTACAGATGAGGAATCTAGGCCCAGAGAGAATGAATAATTTGCTCAAGGTTCCATAGGTACAAAGTAGGAGAGGGGGATTTGAACTCAGACCCTGATTCCAAATCAAGCATTCTTCCCAACAACTTTCCAGTGGGCTACAGCCCACTCCTCCAGACAAGCTTCCTTTACAGTCACAAGGATTTAGTTTTATTATAGCTACTGGGAGCCCTTGATGCTATTTTTAATTTCATCTGCTAAGAAACAGCTTCCTTCAGGTCCAAATTGAAATCCCATAAAGAGAAGACAGCTCTCTCAGGTCTTTGGAAATCTGCATGGAATCTGCAATCTGCAGGAATTGCAATAAATCTAGGGCAGAGTGTCCTGAATTGCTCCTACAAGAGATACAAGTCCTAAGTGGCTCTGATGCCTTAATTCTGACTCAGCAGTTTCAGCAATGCATCACCCCCTTCTCCTCTTTCACTCTGCTCAATTACAACCATTAGAAATGTAGGTGGGATTGTGAAACCTGGGTTTTCAAGGTTGTTCATCTTGGTTAACTTTCCAGGCAACAGCAGACAGACAGAGATAGAGACAGAGACAGAGTGAGTATGTATGTATGTCTGAGAGAGAGAGAGAGAGAGAGAGACAGAGAGAGAGAGATGGAGACAGAGACAGACAGAGAGACAGACAAAGAGGCAGAGGCACAGCGAAATTTCAAAGGCAGCCTCAGGGCTTACCTGGTCCAAGCTTTGCAACAGCATAGAGAAGGTCATAGTTGATGACTGGTGTGGCATCGCTGATAGGCTGCCAGCCCACAGGAGGTGATGCAGGAGGTGAGATGAGAAACTGTTTTGCTGGCTGAGGGGGTGCCAAGTGAAGCTTATCTCCATCTGTCTCGGGGGTCTGAACCTTTCAAATAGACCAGGGACAAAGACTTAGCATTCATATTAGGTTGAGACATGCTCCACAAGCTAGGATGAAAATGTGATCTCATACTTTTAGGATATGAAGAATTAGTGATTGAAGGCTGATACTCATTTTGGCCAAGATCCCAAAAGTGTCACTTCATGAATGACTAAAATTCCCTCCAAGTCAGAACTGAATGACATTGGTAGACAGCTAGGTGGTGAAATGCATGGAGTGCGGGACAGGGAGTAAGGAAATTGTTGTTGGACATTCAGTTGTGTCCAACTTTTCGTCACTACATGGACCATTGCATGTCAGTACTGTCCATGGGGTTTTCTTGGCAGAAAAACTGGAGTGGTTTGCCATTTCCTTTTCCAGGGGAATAAGGTAAACAGAGGTTAAATGACTTATCCAGGGTCATACAGCTAACAAATGTCTGAGGCTGGATTTAAACTGATCCACTGAGCCATCTAGCTTCCTGGGAGTCAGGAACACTGGAATTCAAATCCATCCTCAGACCCTTATTAGTTGTGTGACCCTAGGCAAGTCACTTAATCTCTCCTTGCCTCAGTTTTCCCCAGCTGTAAAATGAGATAACAAATAGCACCTACCTCCCAGTGTTGTTATAAGGATAAAATAACATATGTAAAGTACCTTGCAAACTTTAAAGTGTTACATAAAAACTTTTATTAATATTGTTATCGTTATTATTCATGGGGTATCACACAGCCCTGGGGCCTGTCCTTTCCTATAATTCATGGGGTGTCACACAGTCCTGCTTTAGGGGATACATATACTTTGGGAACAATGCTATTCATTTACCCGTTTAATTTTTTTTCTGCTTCCTATAAGTTTATGAACTCCTTGTGGGTAATGCTGTTTTCATTTTTGTAGTTGTATTCTCCGTGCCTAGCATGTGCTTTGCATATATTTGGTGCCTAATAAATGCTTGCTGGATTGAATTAGCTTAACTTGTACCTTCTATCAGGAGTCAAAATTTCTAGTTAGGTGACACAAAGAATCATACATTGAAGGACATGTATGTTCCTAACCTGTAGCCACTTTTGACGCTAGGCTGTGGGACCATGAACAAATCACTTCACCTCTTAGCCTCAGTTCCTTCTTCTGCAAAATAAGGTAGGGGGGATGATTAGGTGACTTCTGAGGGTCTGTTGAACTTAAATCTATGATCCTGTGACTTTCATAAAACATGGGCAGATATTTTAATTCCAGACCTTCCCTAGACCTAGTTAGTAGCAGGAGTTCAAACACATTTACTGGGGAAGATGAGGGAGGGACAGATAAGTCTGACCTATTTCTCGGTGAACTAATTATAGATTGAAAGCTGTCTCCTTTCCCTCTAGAATCTTTTCTGATCTCCCTGGTCTGAGCTTCCTAACCTGGAATCCCATCATAGAACTTGCTTTTTCAAGTATTCTAACAACTACATTTAAATATCATTGGTTTCCTTTGAATTTTTCAGTCTTTTTTTTTTTTTAGTCATGTCCAACTCTTTGTGACCCCATTTGTGGTTTTCTTGGCAAAGACACTGGCAAGTTTGGATATTTCCTTCTCCATCTAATTTTACATATGAGGAAACTGAGGCAAACAGGGTTAAGTGATTTGCCCAGGGTCACACAGCTAGTAAGTGTCTGTGGCTGGATTTGAATTCAGGTCCTTCTGATTCCAGGGCCAGTATTCTATCTACTGCACTAACTATCTACCCTTATAAGGGTATTATGAACTAAATATAATTCACTTAGGGAAAAAGTGGATAAAGTACATGAAAAAATTATATTCTTACCTGTGCAAAGTAAAGTTTTAACTTCTTCCCTCTGAATTGTGTTTCATGGAGCTCTATCCTGGCCCGAGCTGCAGATTTGGGATTGCTAAAGTTTATTCGCACACGTCTGAAACTCTTGAACAGCTGAAACGTCACACAGTCATCATACGTGCGGAACAGTCCTTCGAATTTCTCCTTAACAAAAAAAAAAAGAAAACACACATATGCACACATACAAGAAAATCCATTGGTCATAAAATGTTTATGGTGTCATTAATGACACAAATGATTAAATCCTTGATTAAAGCAAACAAAGAGAATATTATTTATTTGTTGATTATTAGTCAGTTGTGAATGCTGCCTAGAGACTTATCATTTTAAAAAAATCAGACCTAAATCATGAGATTTCAGGCTAATGAAATACTAACAATATTCTGAATCTTATTTCCTATGTCTATTCACCTTTATTCTATTTATCTTTATTGCAAGTAACAAAACCAACATGTATTACTATGCTACATGTTCTTACCAGAGAGATGGCTATTAAGGAAGCAAATGGCTTTGTAAAATGATTCAGAGTCTTGTTTTTCTAAAGAAAGGCATTTTTGTCTTTAGATAAGTTAGTGGCAGGCAGAGACAGAGGAATATGGGGGTTATGAGAAAAAGATCCCTAGAATATCATAGCCGGAAGACAGCCTAACCTAGATTGACAGCTAGAAGGAACCTGAAAGGTCATATAGTCCTCTGATTTTACAGATGAGGAAACTAAGGAATGTGTAGTGATTTGATCATCTAGTGCAGGGGTGGACAAACTATACAGGTGGTGAGCCAAACCCTGCCTGCCACCTGTTTTCCCAGGACAGTGAGCTAAGAATGGTTTTTTATATAATGTAAAACATAGTTTGCCAACCCCTCATTTTACAAAGGGCCAAAGAATTGAACTGATGGACCCAACGTCACATAGCTAGTTAGTGGCATATATTGGGACTAGAATCCAAGTGTCCTGATTCTCAGTTTAGGGTTCTTTCTACCACACCAAAAACTTACCTATCAAAGGAGGGATAAAAAGAAAAAAAAATTCTTCCATGAAAAGGAAGAAATAAATAGAGGTATGTTAATGAAGCCTAAATTCTGAAAGAAAAAAAAACAACCTGGAGATTTTAGGTGAACACAAGCATAATTTATTGCTGCCACATGTGAATATTGTTATGCAGTAAGAAATAACAAAAATGAGGAATTCAGAGAAATGTGGTAAGATTTGTCAGAAAAACAGTAAGTAAGATTACAATAATGTAAAAGATCACTGAAAAGAAGTTGAACTTTGGGAATTGAAAGGCTCAAACGTAATATACTTCCAACCTCTAGTCACTGAGACAAAATCTGCAAAAATCATTGGCATTTCTATGTGGCACTAACAAAACTAGGTTAAAATTATAGAAAAAAGTTCATTAAAAATAATGACAAAATTTTCAAAAAAGCCCAAATGGGGTCACAAAGAGTTGGACGTGACTAATGACTGAACAACAATAACGATATCTATCCTATTTGCCTCCTCTATTGTTTACAGGGTGAAATATAAAACCTTCTGTTTACTCTTTTTTTCCCTTTAAATTTTTTACATTGGAAATTGTTTATTTACTAAGGTATAATAATCAGAATAGAAACACAAACATCTCTTCCACTGAAGTTTGAATCTATCATCATGCTGAGTTGACAAAGGCTGTTATGAATAAAATGCAAGCTCTGCTATATTTTACATTAAGTTGGGTTAGGGTAATCCCCGTGGCCTAGTGATAACTAGCAGTCATAAGAATAGCAGCCTAGTTTTAGAAAAGTCTAGAGTAGGCCAATCACGAAGTCATGGATTTTCAGCCAAATCAACTCTTTCAAAACTACATTGTTCCGGTTACAAACTCCATTTATGAAGGAAATAACCACATACAAATTCACAGATCTTTGGACTAGAATCACCATTTGGAATAGAATCTCCCACTTTTCTTGGACTAAAAGGTAGACAGGCTGAGGTAAGACAAAATGTGGAATTAAGTTTTTTTTACAGGACACTTCAAGATGGGAAATTCCACATAGAAATAAGAATACCTATTGAGGATAGAAGTTTGACACATTATGTACACAGTTTAAACTGTTCAAGTATGCATTAGTGCTACATGAAAAGTCACATTTAAAAAAAAAGATCTTAGTGGAAAGACAGTAAGACAAACTTATACCAAGAACAAGACATGCAAGACTTGAAGGTCTGACTGCAAAATCTAACAGTTAAAGGTCTCAAGTGTGCCATCTTGAATCTGGAAGGTATAGCCATCAGAGGTAGATTCTGGTACAACATTCTGATCTTCTTCCTCTGCAGAGAAATACTTTTCACTTAAGCTTGAGGTAGCCTTAAATACCATTTCATTTTCATGAGACTATAGTACTTCAATTCTGTCTAGCCCTCCACATTCTTCAATTAGGATACAGAGTTTTTCAGTTTCATTTAGTTTTTCAGCGACCAGAAAAATATTTGAAATTGCATCCAAAATAACCAGGACAATTTTGCTGTCTTTTGCAGACAAGAGGATGATTAAGGGTTCCAGAATTCCATTTTGAACAAAATACACAATCTGCTCAATTGTTCTGCCACTTGTATAGTTTGTGACAGTCCATACAGCTTCTTTCTGTGATTTAAAGTCTCCCTTTGACAGAATTCCAATCAAGGATGGAGCTAGTTCATGATTCACAACTTGCCGTACCGGGTCCAGATGGCCAGCCGTGATGTTTGACATGGTCCATGCAGCCTCCTCCTGGATATTGGTTTTAGGGTGAGTAAGCAGGCTAGGAAAGACGCCTAGCACTCCTGAAACTATTACAATCTGAGTTTGTTCATCTGTCCCAGTGACAATGTTTCCTATAACCCATAAGGAAGGAGTCACTATTGGCGATTCACCAGATCCTACAAGTTTCACTAGCTGTGGGACAGCTCCATTTTCACAACCACTTCAGTCCTGTCACTTGAGCCATCTGTGAGGCAGGAAATGGCCCAACAGGTATCTGCCAGAATTTCTGGATCATCATGATGCAAAAGGTAAACTAAGATAGGAAGAATTTGCTCAATAGTTCCCATCAGGGGAGCAGGATTCTTGTTATGACAAAGATCTGAAAGTGTCTAGGTAAGATTTCTTAAGTAACCACATGCTAATGATGACATATAAGGAGCTACAAACAGAGCTAAAAGAGGGTCTGTTGCACCACACTTGATTACTAAGTCTCTGCAGGCTGAACCATCACCTGCAATGTTGCCCAGAGACCACACTGCCCGTTCACTGATGTGAGCCTGGGAAGAGGCCAACAAGGCAACGAGCACATGTATAGCCCCCCTCCGTGTACCACAGCCTTGGATGGGTCTGATGTTCCAGAAACAATGTTAAAGCAGATTCAAACTGAATAGGATTACAGTCTGTCCTGCCCAAGAAGCCTCCTAGCTTTGGAATTCTACCAGCCTCAATTATTTGGTCTATGGAAGGCTGTTTTTCCCTAGAAAGGAGTTTCCTAGCAGTTTGAGTAGCCTGAAGATGAACCTCCAGATTATTACTATTTACGCTTTTGACTATTTCTTCAACAGACCAATCCTCAGAGCCTTGGTTATTTTAGTTTTCTTGCAGAGGAGAAGCAGCAGCATCAGGAAAAGTGCTGACATTTCTTCTTTTCAGCATCTGGTCATCTTTTTTAGCTTTCCTCAGTTCTGTATTCACTCTCGGGCGCCTCATTTCTGTGCTGTCTTTCCCTTTGTTCTTAAACCTGTTAAGCTGGGCAGCTGGTGAATTAGCATTTTCATTTTTCATTGGTGGACGTGGTCGTGTTCCGCACTGGGAGAAAAGCAAGGAGGGAAGTTGCCGGAGGTCGCTGGGCCCCATAGTGGAAGTGGGAGAAGGTTGCAGCTGCATCACGGTTAGACTTCCAATAGCCACTACAGCTCAGCTCTGAAAGACATGTGCCCTGTTTGACTTTTAAAGCCCTTCTTAACCTGCTCTTGTCCTGCCTCTCCAGTCTTCTTACATCTTGATCCTCTCCACGTACTCTGAGATGATCATGGTACTCATGGGTGTCTGCTGTTCCTGGAAGATGACACTCCCTCTCCCAACTCCAAGCATTTTCACTGGTTGTCCTCTATGCCTAGAACTCTCTCCCTCCTCATAAGTGCCTGCAGGCTTCTTTAGCTTTCTTCAGGTCTCAACTAAAGTCTCATCTTCTGCAAGAAACCTTTCCCAGTCCTCCTTAATCTTAGTGCCTTCTTTCTGACATTATTTTCAATTTATCTTCAATATCTTGCTTGTATTTAGTTGATTATGTGTTGCCCCCCCCCCAAGTTAGACTGCAAGCTCCTTGAAAGTAAGGATGAAATTTTTGCCTGTCTTTGTATTCCCTGAGCTTACTACAGTGCTTGGCACATAGTAGAAGCATAATCAATGCATGTCGACTATGGAAAAAGGTTCCATAGGTACCAAGATACTCCTAGGAATTTTGTGCCAGTTAAAAAATGGGAAACAAAGTGGGTTCATTTATTAGGAAATGGCTAAACAAATCATGGTATCTGAATGTAATGGGGTGTTATAGTGCTATAGACATTATGAATATGAGGAATTTGTAGAAGCAGAAGAAGACCTGTAGGAACTAGAGTAAAATAAACAGAATTAGACACTATAAATAATGACTGTAATAATTTAAATGGAAACCACCCTGAAAGGTAGCCCTATTTTGCCTAATTGGAATGACCAATTGGCCTGGAAAACAGATAATGAAACAGACTTTCCTCCTCTCCATAGAAAAGGGAGAGATTTTAGGTGTGGAATGTTGCATATCCATTAGATTGTAAGCTCCTTGAAGGCAGAGACTGTCTTTTGCCTCTTTTGGTATCCCCAGTGCTTAGTATAGTACCTGGTACACAATTGGTGCTTAATAAATGCTTATTGATTTTGCTGCCTGATGTTGGTTTATATTGCTTAACTGTTTTATTTTCCTGTGTTACAAGGGATGGCTCCTAGGGAATTGGGAAATGATTGTGATGTAAAAACAAAAGGCATCATAGATTTTGATGTGGAAGGGACTTTTATCCTCTATTTCACAGATTGGGAAACTTTGAGCCCAAAAGATGGAGCGAGTTGCACAGATAGCAAATGGCTGAGGTGAGATTTGAACCC